TAATACCCCTTCGCGGCAGGACGCGTTACCGCTGTCTTTGAGGCTATAGTGGCTAGATAAAGGACTACGCGTATCCGAAAGAAAAGGTCCAGCGAAGACATCTTCAGCAAATACATGCAAGAGGGCGTATTTGTTGCAGATGTCCGCGCAGGACCATCGGCGAAATTTGAGTGTTTATTTTTCGGGAAAACGAATGCCCGCGGTGGCCCAGATATAAAAGACGATCCTGAACCGCTCAGCCCCATCCTCTCCAAACCTCAGAAATTTCTTCAAGCTATTTCTCATCTGGTTCCATTTTAGTTCAGCCTATTCATCAGTGACCGTATCGCCCTAAACAGATCGCTGGGTGACTATCGTAAGCCATCTTGCCGCATTAAGACCTACAGGAGTACGTTTCCACATATTCTTGATAACTGCCATTTTCTACCTAGGTGATTTAGATGTTTCCGAGCTACCGACAACATCCGTAATAATCGTCTACCATAATGAAGCCTATTCCACGCTTTTACGTACTGTACAAAGTGTAGTCGACCGATCTCCTCGAGCTGTTCTGGCCGAAGTCATACTTGTTGATGATTATTCGAATAGAAGTAGGGCTTACCTCATTAGGGTAACTTAGTGTCAAAAATTTTTTCTCTTCCAGCGTTCCTAAAATATCCTGTGCTGGACGAGGCGGTAAAAATCTATCCAGTACCAGTGAAAATTATAAGGACGAAACAACGAGTAGGACTGATTAGAGCAAGGCTAATGGGAGCACAGGTAGGTTTTTGGTACCCAAATTTTTTGCTAAACTCTATTTTTCCTAGGAAGCTGAAGGCGAAGTGCTAACATTCCTTGATTCACACTGTGAATGCACTGAAGGTTGGTTGGAACCGTTGCTGGACAGGATTAGGGATGATCGGTAAGTGTATACCCAATTTGGGCGATTGAAGTAACTTTAGCTTTTTACGCTGACATTAGATTAATGGAAGTCTAACTAGTTCAACTTCATTGAGAGTCAATCTATCGCAGCTGGTTTCTTATACCTTAGGACCGTCTACCATACTGAAAAAAGTAGTGGTTTAGCAAAGTTTCTTAACTCAACCGCGCAAACAAGCACGCTGGCGCTTCTAAACAAGCCAAATTCCTGGCATGGGGTAAAATACAAATATCTGATACTATACTATTAGTTTGTGATTTTCTGCTTTTTAGTTGGAACTCTGCGGTATTAGCTACAATTTGAGTATAGTATAGTTTTCATAAAACAAATAATTCCAGTATAATTGTGGTGCCATAAAAACTTTCA